TGTAATATTGTGAAATATTATTACGATGTAAAATAACGTTTTTCTATTTTAATATACATAAAAACCTAATTTATTCCTGTGATGCAAAGCTGAATTTTCAGCATCATTACTCCAGTCTTCAGTGTCACATGATCTTCAGAAATCATTATAATATGCTGATGTATTATTAGTGTTGGAAACAGTTTTTGCTGCTTAATATTTTTTTGGAACCTGTGATACTTTTTTTCAGGATTCTTTGCGGAATAAAAAGTTAAAAAGAAGAGCATTTATTCAAAATATAAATCTTTTGTAATTGTAACACTGGAGTAATGATGCTGAAAATACTGCTTTGATGACAGAAATAAATTACACTTTAACAGATATTCACATAGAAAACCATTATTTTAAATAGCAATAATATTTCACAATTTTAAATTTTTTTCTGTATTTCTGATCAAATAAATGCAGCCTTGATGAGCAGAAGAAACTTCTTTAAAACACATTACTAGTCTTACTGATCCCAAACTTTGGAACGGCAGTGTATATGTAAGTTACATGGTATTTTCTTGGAAACTTGGTGATGCAGTGGTAATTTTTGGGATGCAAGTACTTCATTTAATGTATATGTCCAAAAATATGGTAATTCCATGGTACATAGTCTATAAAACCATGCTATTTTTGTTATTGATTTGTAAGTCATATAAATAGCACGATGTATTCATTCAGTTGCATTCAAATTACAGTGTTTTAATGGATGCACTATGGTAATACCATGTTTTTGGCATTTATTAAATGCATTGGCACACAATGTAATCAGAATTGGATAATCATTCAGTACCATGGTATTACTGTCTGATCTCGTTATGTTACCGTGGTAATACAGTTTGATTTTGTCATGGACAAACATGCATATAAACACTTGAAGTAACTCAGTTGTGTGTGTGTGTTAATAAGCAAATATTGCTGATGATATTTTTAAATGAAATAACACATTTGAAAGACGTTGACGGGTCTTACGGTCCGATTTTAACATCTAGAGGTTGTAGTTTCTCTTTTAAGAATGATTTCTGCACCGTGGTGTTGGTTTTCTCTCGCTGTGGCCCGCGTCGAGCTTCTGGGTCAAAGTTCACGGTGAAAGAGGCTGGATGTGTGTGAGGCGTTAGTCACTCGTGCAGGACTGTCGCATTACTGAAGCGGTCTCACACTGCGGTTCTGTATCCAATGGCAACACGCTGCAAAGGTCTCGTGTGAGTGTGCCGCCGAGTGTTCAAACTCTCAAAGGAAAGACGGACAAAGAGCGAGCGAGTGTGTTTGTGGGAGTTTCAGCGCTTGTGCTGATGCAGACGGCCTGAGTGTGTGTTTATTAAAGGAATAGTTCAGCCAAAAATGAGAATGTGGCCATCTGAGATGTGGATGAGTTTGTATTTGGAGAAATGTAGCATTGCATCAGTGTCTCAGCAATGGATGCTCTGCAGTGAATGGGTGCCGTCAGAATGAGAGTCCAAACAGCTGATAAAAACATCACAATAATCCACAAGTAATCCACAGCACTCCAGTCCATCAGTTAACATCTGGAGAAGACAAAAGCTGAAACACATCCAGCATTAAGACGTTTTTAACTAAAATACCATAGAGTCCATAATCCATAATAACGCTTCCTCCAGTGAAAAAGTGTTCTGGTGTGAATCAGGAGAGAAATCTGCACAGATCAAGCACCGTTTAAACAGCTCTAAACACATATGTGGCTGGATTTTGATGTGAGACACAACAGGAGATGGACTTTTTCACTGGAGGAAGAGTTATTATGGATTATTACACGGCTTTGTGTTTGATTAGCTAATAAAATATTAAAACTCTATTCAATATTTTGTGTGCAATTATTTAATTATGTCATCCTGGTATCGCGGACTCGCTCTCTCGTTTCATACAAACGCAGCTGCTGCAGTTTGCCACGATTGTGTTGGACACTGTAATTAGGGATGTAACGATTCACTATTTATTTTTTACAAAATTAGATTTAAGACATATTATAAATTAAATGTGTCCTTTTATTAATGCTTGGACAAAATACTGCACATTTCTTTGTGAAATTGAAATATAACACTATAATAATATACTAATATAGCACTTGCATATTATTGCTCTTTTGTTGGTTTTGATTGCTTCTCATTTGTAAGTCGCTTTGGATAAAAGCGTCTGCTAAATGACACAATTTTAATATAATGTAAATGTAAATAACAAAACAACATTGAAATTTTAAAACAAGCCCCAAATCAAATAAATAACACAAATAAAATAAATATTTTCAACCGGCTCGCGGTTAATCGTTACATCCCTAACTGCAATGGATTATTAGATAACTAACCAACTGGTAAGATTTTAAAACATTTCCGTGTTAAATCAGTATCTGTCATCGCCATAATCATTTATGTGGTTAAATGTTGTGTAATAAGTGACTGCACCGTATTTCTTAAATGTCCGTCTAGTTTTAACTTTACACTTGCTTGCAACTGCATTCTTCACGGAAGCTTCAAATCAATATATCGTGTCTAATTATTTACTTAATATGTGGCAAGTAGCCGTGTAATAAGTGGGATAATGTACATCCAGATGGTTGTTATCGCTGAATAACCCCCTTCAATATTTCTGAATATCCGTTACTTATGGACTCGTGTTTGAGTTAAAAACGTCTTAATGCTGGATTTGTCTCAGCTTTTGTCTTCTCCAGATGTTAACTGATGGACTGGAGTGCTGTGGATTACTTGTGGATTATTGTGATGTTTTTATCAGCTGTTTGGACTCTCATTCTGACGGCACCCATTCACTTGCAGTGAGACACTGATGCAATGCTACATTTCTACAAACCTGATCGGTTCTCTTGGTTCGTTTAGTTCGGACCAAAAAAAGAAAACAATACACAATATGATTCCTGGTCCGCTTGCGTTCACACTGGCATTTTTGACAGCGAACCTAAAGGCACAGTGATACGTTCACAACCTGATTGGTTGGGTTGAATGACGTATATTTCGTGATGGAACACACCAAGGTTCGGATGTGTTCATTCACACTTACTCAAACGAACTGCACTAACAGAGCAATCACACCAGAGTTCATTTTAATCGAACCAAGCATGACAAGTGTGAACACACCCTAAGTGGTTAAATGTACTCGCACCTCTGCTTTTATGCATGTAAACACAGCCCACTGTGAACACTCTTGTAATTCGCTTCAACCTTTTCGAACTTTATGAATGATTATTTTAGGTTCGAGTGTGTGTAAGAAACTGAAAGCGAGCAGAGTACGGATGTTTCTAAAAACCAAGCTCAGAATCGATTCCAGAGAGAATCGCGATGCATTCGTGAAAAACACATAATCGATCCACGAATCGATTTTTAGGTTAAGCTGAGGCTTATGATAGACATGATATTTCTCTTGGACGCTCAGATCTGATGCTCAGTGGTTTTGAGCCAATCAAAACATGAACGCCACACTCTCCTGAGCTGTGATGGAACGTGAAAAATAAACCCGTTTTACACTTTCAAGAGCTTTTAAAAATTAGAAAAGCATCTACATTGGAATTTTTTTTTTAAGTTGTAAATGAAACAAAGATTATTGGAGTACCTTTTAGAAGAAAAATACTATTTCAGTTTTTCTACTTAAAAATGTCATGTTTAATTATTGCCATTTCTTTGTAATTATTTATGAATTTACTAGCAGCTTCTGAGAAAATAGTTTCTATGCCAAATTTGTATTTTTTTTTTAATCTTTTTACATTTTTTCATTATGTAATATAACTAAATGTTTGTTTGTTTTTTTAAATATTGTTTGCTAAAAAATTATTTTGTCAGAATGCACTGCTACTTTTTAATGGCCATCAATGGAGAAAGCTGCTTTTTGCCCCTTTAATTGTGTCGTTACAGCAGGAACTAACTAGATCATGCTAACTAGCTAAACTTGACTGATTAATCTGCAGATATTTCGCCATTTTGAGGCTAATAACTATAGTCATTTGACTGATAAATTAAGTTTTTCCCTTGTTTCAGTTCTGACAGCCTTGCCAATGGATGATGCATGTTTTCTGTTTTTTAATATTAATTTTGAGTGAATTTGGTGTTAAGTTTTCATTCAATTCTAGCAGCATCATCAGCCATTGAAAACCCATAGCGTTTGACCACTAGTTGTAGCTCTTGTGTTTAGGTTCTGATCTTATTTATTAAAATCATATGATATGGTCATTGTGTTATTTTCTTTTCATGAAAAAATTGACATGGGGAGAAGTGTATTTTCAAAAATGGGAAAGCGTTTATTTTGCAGATTGCTACAAATGCAGTTTTACTTTTCTGCAGTATTTTGGAAATTATAAAAATGTTATACTGTCTAGAAAGTTATTCTTCTGTTTGTCTTATATTTTCATCATGATTATGAAGATTTTTTGCAATAACATGCACTGATTAGCAGTAGACTGATTAGAGGTCGACCGATTATCGGCACCGATATTAAGATTTTTTATGGTTATCGGTATCTGTCATTTTCAAAACCGATTTGCAAATAAAATAATTTAAAAGCATTTAAAGAAAGTTTTTGTCAGATCCCTTGTTATTCTTAATTTTGACATTAACTTTAATTTTTAAACCAGACATATTTCAACATTCAAAATATCGGTTATTGGTCTACTTGATCTGTAATAATCGGTATCGGCCCTGAAAAACACACACAAACACACACACACACACAATTTTCAAAACCGATTTGCAAATAAAATAATTTAAAAGCATTTAAAGAAAGGTTTTGTCAGATCCCTTGTTATTCTTAATTTTGACATTAACTTTAATTTTTAAACCAGACATATTTCAACATTCAAAATATCGGTTATTGGTCTACTTGATCTGTAATAATCGGTATCGGCCCTGAAAAACACACACAAACACACACACACACACACACACACACATATATATATATATATA